ATTATCTCTTGCGGAAGGCCACAACATTTGTGGAGCGTGCTGATGATCACTATCATGGTGACCTTCTATTTGGTGATCTTATCTCTCAACTCCTAATCAATCTTGACATTGATCTATCAGCCACGACATTGGGGGGATAATTTTGATCATCATGTTTCTCCCTCTCCTGATGGACTTCTATCTACTGGAACATGCAACTCTCTTGTCTTCTGAGTTCGCAATACTAGCTCCCCTAATCTGATGATACTGTCGAGATTGTTCCAGATAATCATTTTGATTAAAATAATGGTTCAACAGTTTTTCTTCCTGGGGGGGTTTATTCATTTTTCTTTTGGTGCTTTTGGAACTACATTTTGAGGAGGAGCCATATTAAACTCCTAAATATTATGATTGACAGACTTATTGTGATAAATGATGATTGTTGCTTAAATACTAGACTACTCTGGTTTAAAGGGTAAAAATACTATATAATTTCTTGAGTGAGAAGTTTGCTTTTGTCTAGTGTGTTGTGAGTGTTTCAAATAGCTAAGCTTGCTTGAAAGCTAGAGAAAGATTTTTTATTTCGTTAAACTTTGTTGTGTTGAAATACAAAGTTTAGTTTTCTTTCTGAAAGTGATTTACACTTACGATATGATTACGTGCTTTGAATGTTGAATCTTTCCTCCCTATTATCTTGACCAATGTTAAGGAGGGTGTAGTGCGTAGGAAGTATCAATTTGAAGTGGTTGGTTTCATTTATTGATGTATCCTTATTAAATGTTTGACTAGTGACCAAGAGGTAGGTTTGTTTGTCTGTGAAGTTAGATTCTCAGTTATAGGTTGGTTGGGTTATGCTTGGTTTTGTGCTTTCCCACAACGAAGATTTTAAATAAAGTGAATTTTAGCTTTTCAAAGTTTTATGTGTGAGGCACCTATTATATGTTTTAAAGTAAATTTCTTAGCAGTGGTTCATAAAAAAAGACTACTCTCGATCGCATGCCAATTATCGGGTGATGTGCATGGTAACCCTCCCAACTTCAGTTTGAAACGTTCAAAAGTTGGTCATCTTCACATAGTGGCCCCTCCATACCGATCGAGATAAAGGTAGGGGTAAGAAAGCAAAATGCATAGGACCCCTACTTGCCCAGTCAAAAAAATAAAATAAAAAAGTTTTCAAGGTTGATACAACCCCAAAGAAAAAAAAAAAGAAATCTCAAAATGAGAATAAAAAGTTGGGTGGAAGGTGTGAAAGAGAACTGTAGATAACGATTGCTCTTCTTACCTACATTGATCGTCTACCTTGTGCCTATCTCTTTCACTTGCGAACATTTTGTTTAAGTTTTTTTGATTCAGTTGAACGATATTATGGATGACCATCTAATAGTATGGAACCAAGCATGTATTGTAAGAATGATTTGATTGTTGCTAATGGATCCTGGTACATTGTCGATAGCATGGATGAAGGTGTATCGATGCAAAGCTAACAACACTTTGGATATGAAAATCTCCTCCAACAGCTCATGGATATGAAAAAGTATCCTACAATTGTGTCCATTATAGCAGAGACAAGGAAAGGTTGGGCTCTAGGATGGTAAACCCATGGGGAATTACTCTTTAGGTAAGTTGTGGGCACACATTAAGACATTGTACATAATGTGGTTGCGTAAGAGAAGTTGTGGTTATAAACAAAACTATAGTAGCACATAATAGACTATGAAGGCATCGCATGATTAAAGCATCATAAAATAATTTGTTCGAATAAAATAAGCATCACATGACATAGGCATCCAATTATATAAGCATCACGTGACTAAGGCATCTAATGGAATTAGCATCGAAATACATAGACAAACAATGACTAAATAGAAAGAAGATTATATAAGCATCAATAGAATTCACAACCTTGACAATGCCTTTTGAACTAACAATAGATAGAAGAGAAAGATGGTACCACCATCGATGATGAATGCATATCTTTAGATGCACCCTCCTATGAATGTTAATTCGGCCTCCCTCAAGCCGAGTGGTTCCTTGCTTGAATTCTACAAAATGATTTTAGTGAATTTTTGCAGCCTCCTTAATCCCTTAACCTGGCACTCCATTTGTAGCGAAAGGAAGAGGAGTTTATGGGTCTTTTCCTTCTAAAATGAGGCAAAGGCTTCTTGATACCACTGGGACTCGGATTGCTTGACTTGAGGACGAAGCAATCATATTCTCTAATATTCCTTGGGCTTGGGCCAGTGGCGGTCGAGCAGCGGTTGGACGCGCCATGGTTTTCTTCCTCATTTGAATTGATTGGCTCACAAGTAACTCCTCCCGTGAAATCCAGCACGACTTGATGGATTCGGCCCAACGGCGCTCTGCACCATCACAAGGTCGTGATGGTTTCTTCCTGAGTTTGGGCTGAAATTTCTTCGGTGAACTTTTATGACGACTTCATGCAGGCTTCCCCTCAATTCGACCTCATTTAATAGACAAATCATTTTGATCTTCTAGTAATTTTCCCTCTTGATCCTCCACTTTGATCTAATTGCTTATCCATGCCATCATATAATGTGTTTGACCTTGAAAAAGACTTAAGAATACCAAATACAAAATAAAATTATATAAAACCACATCATAGGTCTATTATAAGAACATTGATCACATAGTTATGATTTCTACCTAAATATTGTAAAATATACTAAAGATGCATTGATAGAAGGAAAAATGTATCAAATATGAGAGTGACAAACACTATAATTTGAGTGTCATCGGAAAACAAGAGAGCATCTCTTTTTCCAGTACCCCTTCTCCTGCTTCATGTGGAGTTGCTCTCCCATGGTTTCATCAGTCCTCTTGGCAGGAAACACTTGCAACACCATATGACATAGTTCCATAATGCATAAGGAAGGGTGAATGGATTGTTATGGTGTATGTTTCTATCTCACATTTGGTATGAGCGATGATTAAAGGTTTAATTGTGAGCAGGCAAATTCAGTAGAGGAAGTGATAAAAAAAAGCATCTGCAGGGACCTAAGCTAGATTGTTGGAATTCAAAAGGGATTAGAAGCAGACCTCCTGTAATTTGGTTTATTAAATATAGGATAGGAACTGATTAGTAAATTCGGTTCTGATTACTTGTAGGTCGAGTATTCTAACATATTTTCCAGAGGCAAAGCCACACTCGTTGTATTGGACGCATTTGAAGTGATCTTTGTACTTCTTTGATAATGGAATGCATCTAATTCAACAACAACAACAACAACAACAACAACAACAAAAAGTGGCACATTATGCTAACTTTCTACCATTTTAGTAGTTTCAAAAACTAAAAAACTAGTAAGAACGGAAAATCACAATTCAGCATTTTGATGGATTCTAGGAACCCCTACTTTTGACTACGAAGTTGACATTCTTAAAAATAAAAGTGCGATAAAAAAAACATGTAATGTCTAAATTAAATGTTTAATGGGTTTGTTGATTATTCACAAGTTAGAGGTTTGTTGTCTTTGAAAGAATTCGTTCGTAACGATGAACAACAAAGACTTATCTCGAGATTAAAAAGTTATTTGTCATCTTTATTATAGCTAAATTTAAGGAAACTAACACTTTAATATGAGGATTTTAACAATGACTTATTAGAACCAAATCAAATAGGGTTTCTAAATTCCACCCTAATTTTACTACAATCGCTCTAATTTAAACGTTCAAATTATCTTATTATCCTTTCGTAGTGAGTAGGTATTTTTTCTAATAAACACATAAAAAAACTGGACCCACGCTCCATCACCATTACCGATGTTACCCGTTACAGGTCGTTACCACTAATTTCCACTGTTGGCCACCTACCGTCGCTAATTTCCACTGTCGACAACCTTCATCAATGTCATCGTTATGGTCATCGTAGTAGGGAGAAATGACACAAAGCACTTGGGACGGACGATGACAAGGACCGTGGGGAGAAGAGATAGGCGCAATTGGGAGTTGATTCTGATGATGGGGGAAAAGGAATGACGCGGATAGGAGTTGATTTTGAGGGCAGGGTGATTCAGATAACATAAATAGCGGGGAGGCATTGATTCTAATGGCGGGGTTTTGATTCAGACTGGAACTCTAGTGGGGAGAAGAGAGGAGGTGATGACAACGAACCAGCGTTTGGTTGCAGCAACTCAACTTGGTGAATGGTAGTCAGATTGGTGGATAGTGCAGCTATAGTGTTGGAAAGCAAGTTTGTTATGGTCAACAAAATTTAATAAATGGCAGTTGTTTGTTTTATTTTATTTTTGTATTTGATGAAAAATAATTTGATACTTTATATTTTAAGATAAGACGATAATAGAAATTTTAGGGCATTTTTAACGGTTGAGAATCCAAAACACATTAGTAATCCAAAGTCACCCACAAAGAAATGTCCTCCAACAATTCTCCCTAACGACTACCTGCCTCACACCCTCATTCTTCTGAATCAAAAGCTAAGAATGTCTAAAAAAACAAAAAAGACAGAGAGAAAAAAACTAACCCCATAGAAAAACCATGAGATATACCAAACGAAAACATACATCTCTGGATGTTGTTATTGTTGTTGGCCGCCTGGTTGATCTCTCTCAACCTAGGCACCAATCCAGAGCTCCCCCATGGCCTTTCTCTTTAAGTCTTATTATGATGAACTAATTAAGAAATAGATAATCAAAAAGCTTTAGCGGGAGACTTGTAATTCTCGGCGGGGAGGAAAAATAAATATCATTTTTTTCCTCCTTTCGCCACCGTCGTTCTCGTATTTCGGTGCATCTTCAATATCGATGGATCCCGCCAAAATTCACACTCTCTCTTTGATTACCTATATTTCCATAATTATTTTCAATCATGTCTCCGTCGGGGACGACACACCGACAACATTATTGCTGAACTGCGGGTCGGATAATTTAGGACCGGATCCTGACGGTCGAAAATGGACATCCGATGACAAGTTCATCTCTGGGGACAACCCAAAAGCCCAGGCTCAATTCCAGGACCCAGCAATCCCTTCAGAAATTCCTTTCATGGACGCACGGATCATCCTCTCGGAAGCCACCTACAAGCTCCCGATCCAACCCAATACCCGGTACGTGCTCCGGCTCTATTTTTACCCATCGGATTACCTCCGGTACAACATCTCTTCCTCCTACTTCACCGTCACGGCAGCCAAAATCACCCTCCTGAGAAACTTCAGCGCGTCAATCACGGCTCGCGCCACCACCCAAGCTTATCTGATAAAGGAATACTCACTTCCCCCCTCGAATTCCGATACGCTGGAACTCACCTTCAAACCCGAAAGTAAAGCAACCTTCGCCTTCATCAACGGCATTGAGCTGATTCCGACCCCCAATGGCATGTTCGACACCGTGCAGATGATTGGGCTCATGAGCAGCGAAATGGATATTACGGGCGCGAGCCTAGAGACTCTGTTCAGGCTAAACGTTGGCGGTAGCCTGATCGGACCCAAAAATGATACCGCCGGAATGGGAAGAACTTGGTACAACGACATGCCTTACATTTACAGCGGATCTGTCGGAGTGGTTACTTCAATAAAGAAAGGGCAACACGTGAAGTACGATCGTATTCCACATTACATTGCACCTATACAGGTCTACGAAAGCGCCAGAGCCATGGGACCCGACGGCCTGGAAGTGAATTCCAAGTACAACCTCACCTGGAAATTCTCGGTGGATCCCAATTTCACCTACGTCATCAGGATGCATTTCTGTGATTTCCTGATGACCCGCCCCAACCAGAGGATCTTCGACATCTACATCAACAATCAGACCGCTCAGGGAGACGACAACGCGTTGGACCCTGTCGGAACCGCCGGTGCTGGGGTTCCCTTCTACAAAGACTATGGAATCTTCGTCCGTGGTAAAGCAGATATCTTGATCGAGCTCCATCCCTCCATGTTCTCTCAACCCGAGTTCTTAGACGCCATTCTCAATGGGCTAGAGATTTTCAAGATGGCCGCGAGTCGGAGCTTGGCGGGTCGGAATCCAGAACTGTCGTCGATGCTTGCCGCGGACATTGACAAGATTGAGAAGAAGAAGCAGAAAGAATTTCAATCCCACAATATGATTGTAATCGCCGGAGCAGCTGGTGGGGCCGTCGGATTCTGCTTGGTAGCTGCAATTTTGATCGTGCTGGTAAATCGGCAGAACAGAAGGAGAAACCAAAGACCTCCCTGCCCTCACGGGTCAAGCTGGCTCCCACTCCGAGGAAGCTCGATGAGTAGCAACTCCGACAGCAATCACCTCAGCTCATTGGCACAAGGACTCTGCCGACACTTCACGCTATCAGAGATGAAACGAGCGACCCAGAGCTTCCACGAATCTAATGTAATCGGGATCGGAGGGTTCGGGAAAGTGTACAAGGGTGCAATCGATGAGGGTTTGACCAAAGTAGCAATCAAACGGTCGAATCCACAATCGGAACAGGGGGTGAACGAGTTCAAAACAGAGATTGAGATGTTGTCCAAGCTTCGCCACAAACATCTAGTCTCCCTTATCGGGTTCTGTGAGGAAGAGGGGGAGATGTGCTTGGTATATGACTACATGGCACTCGGGACATTGCGAGAGCATCTCTACGATTCAAGGAAAGGTCCAATGGGGATGCTTTCGTGGAAACAGAGGCTGGAGATTTGCATCGGAGCGGCCAGGGGGCTTCACTACCTCCACACGGGAGCTCAATACACCATCATCCACCGCGACGTGAAGACCACAAACATACTGCTTGACGACAAATGGAGCGCCAAGGTGTCCGATTTTGGCCTGTCAAAAACAGGGGCCAACATGGAGAATGGTGCGGTGAGCACGGTGGTGAAAGGCAGCTTTGGGTACTTGGATCCAGAATACTTTAGAAGGCAACAATTGACCGAGAAATCGGATGTTTACTCGTTTGGGGTGGTTCTATTTGAGGTTTTGTGTGCTAAGCCGGCTTTGGACCCTAGCCTGCCCAAGGAGCAAGTGAGCCTCGCAGATTGGGCACTTCAATGCAAGCGAGAGGGAAGGTTGGTAGAGCTGGTTGATCCTCATATCAAGGAGGATATCAAAGAAGAATGCTTGAATAAATTCGCGGACACGGCGGAGAAGTGTTTGAATGATAGTGGATTAGAGAGGCCTGGGATGGGGGATGTCCTCTGGAACCTTGAGTTTGCGCTGCAACTGCAGCAGGAGGAAGATCAGGAAGGTGGTCGTATTTGTGAGAGAGATGATTCAAAATAAATGTATTTTTGTTCATAATAAGCTTATTATTATGGGGTAATATTATTGGAAGACAAGTGTTTTCGTTGTTGTGGCAGCTTTATTGGATTGGTTATTGACGGGCTCTAAACTACACTCTCAATTGAAGGTAAAGTATAACCAACAATCGAGTGTAGCATAGTGGAAGTAAATTAATAAAATTATTGAAGCCTAGAGTCTTTATATATATTGGTACTTCGCTTATGCTTGTTATCCAGTCACACAAGTTTTAATATTAAGAAACTAAACTAACCAATTACAAGTTGTGAGCTTAGTTAGGCATTGATTCCACTAGCCACTAATCGAATCAATGATTGACGATCCTCTAACTCAATTCATTCTTTATTCAAGGCTCTATTGAGTCGGTTACGTAGAAGGTCATAACCTTCTCTAAAACAACTGATCAAGGATTTCGGTATTAGACTCCCTCACTTGGGTGAGGTTCTCACACAATACAAAGCAAAGACCCAACTCACACTTGTGGTATCGACCTCCTACTCCCAATATATGATGCTCTAATTGGCCTAATCAGATTTTATCTCATAGGCCAATAGCAAAATCAATTATTCTTGATCAAGGAAGAATTGAACATCAAAACATCCATAGATTGGATATAAACTCAAGAATATCAAGATATAGTACGTACGCATATAATCATTCAATCAAGCTAAACATGGGTAAGGTTCATCAAAAACTAAGTGAAAGATAACTATTCCACAGAGAGGAGAGCGAATATATTATAAGGGTCAAGATCTTCAGTCTTCATATCTAGGCTTGATCTTCTAACTCCAATGAGGATGGGTACCTCAAAAATAGCTCCAAGAAGCCTCCTAAATCTCTCTCTCTCTCTCACTCACTCTCTCTCTCTCTCTCTCTCTCTCTCTATCTCTCTCTATCTCTCTCTCTCGCTCTCGCTCTTCGGAACGCCTATTTGGTGTGTTTGGCCGCATACTCTGCTCTCCCTCTTCAAAACCTGCAGTAAAATATTTATACCCACAGGCAATGCATGAATCACGATCTCATGTCACGGCCGTGACATCGACAAAGAGATCTTGGCGTTGACAAAAAATGCTGCATTTTGATGCATCTCACGGTCAAGATCGTGACTTAACCAGTTGCCTTTGACCTGTGGTATAGCTCCTGATTCTTGTTGAATCTTACGGACGCCTCGTCCAATGCCATGGTTTGGCTGTGACATATGCTCCTATGATGCAATTTTCCTATTCTCACATGTCACATCCAAATGTTCTGAAACTCCTTCGTGGGTCATATTTACATCATTAGTCATGAAAACGAAGCACAACCTAGCATAAAATAGGCAAAGAAATGCTAAACACCAAATCTATTGATCAAAATGTGAAGGACAAAACATGTATAATTAAGCTCGAAACAGTTATCAACCAATGGATCTACTCTACATAATGTGATCACTCAAGCCAGCCCGAAACAGTTATCAACCAATGGATCTACTCTACATAATGTGATCACTCAAGCTAGCCCGAAACAGTTATCAACCAATGTGATCTACTCTACAAAAGTTAAAATAAAGTTGAATTGGTTTTTACTCATTTTCTTGGTTAATATAAAGGATGGGCACATATTTAAAAGAAATTACTTGATAATTTTCTTTCATTAGATCATTGAAGTTCATTCACGTGTGTTTAGGGTTTGAGTACATGTTTACGCATACGATAATTATTCTGATATGCATTCAAATGGTTGAAGGCAAGTGGTAAAATTGATCTGGTGCAAGCATATGGATGGAATCTTTTATAATCCGGAGAGAAGCTCTAGTTTATTGTTCTTTTTCTGGTTACATTTTTTATGGGTTAATTGCATAGTTGGTCACTGAGATTACAAAAAACGTTTATGTTTGGTCACTGAAAATATTTAAATCCAATCTTGGTCACTCAAATTAGTTAAATGGTTCAAGTTTGTCACTCTCCGTCCAACTCCGTTAAATATGTCTGATGGTGCAGTCAACCCTCAAAGTTGACCGTTAATTCGGTGACGTGGCAATTAAAAAATAATAAATAAAATTAATTTTAATCTTCTACCATTTCCAACTCATTTTCACAATAAAGTAAAGTAAAATAAATAAATAAAATTATTATAATCACAAATTGAAAGAGTAGCTTCCTCCTCCGCCACCACATCCCTTCCCACAATCCCCTCCGGAAACAGAGAGAAAAAAAGAAGATAAAAAATGGCTTATGGGTTCCCCGGCGGAGGAGGAATCGGCGGCGGTTCAGAGAATCACCATTGCATTCACGTTCTAGTGAACCATCATCAGTGGAGACGCCTCGAGTGAAAGTCTCTCTTGATTTAGGCCCGCTTACATGTCTCATTTCGGGTTTCGATTTCGTGTTCCCCCACCTGTGCAGCGTCATCCTCGCCAGATCCAGATCGTGCTCGCTCTGCTCCAGGCTCGCCCCGATCCCGTCGATCACCGCCTTCCCGCCCGAGTGGATGCAGAAGTGCTCCACCACTGTTTTGAAATTAATCACCGGCGGCTTCCCCCTCTTCGCCCCAGATCCGGCCGCGAGGGTCTTCAATTTCCTCATCGAGTACACCGCCACGAACCGGACCAGCTCCCTGACCGGCAGGATTTTGGGGGAGATTTCCCTGAGATTGTCGACGAACGCCCGGGTTGCAGCTTTGAGCAGATTCTTCGCCAGGTGGAACCCGAGCCTCCCCTGTTCGTCCTCCTTCTGGATACAGCACCCGTACGAATCTTCCTTCCCGCCGTGGTGTGTGCGGACCAGGGTATTGAGCTTGAAGATGCAGCGGTGCCTCAAGGACCGCTTGTTGGTGAGCAGAATCGCGCACCCACCCGATCGGAAGAGGCAATTAGCGAGAATCATGGATCTTTCGTTGCCCGGTACCAATTGGGGCTGAGCGACTCGGAAGTGACGACGAGGGCGACCTTGTTTTTTTGTGCACGCAAGGTGTTCGACACAATGCCTACGGAGATCAAGCTGGCGCTGCAGCCCATACCGGTGAGATTGAACATCCTGACGTCGTCCCGCATCTTGTAGTGGTTGACGATGCGGGAGGTGAGGGAAGGGACGGCGGCGAGCATCGAGACGTTGACGAGGAGGAGGTCGATTTCGTCTGGCTTGACGCTGGAGCAGGCGAGGAGCTTGCCGATGGTGTCGTGGAAGAACTCGTCCATCTCGAGGAGGCCGTTGCGGAGGGTGGGGTTCTCCTCGCGACCCTCGAAGATCATGCGCGGGGCGTAGGTCTCCTCGCCGATGCCGGAGGAGACCATGGCCTTGAGGAGGAACTTGTACTCGACGAGGCCGAGGTTCTTGTTGCGCTTGATGATGTCGCCGCAGAACTCGGTGTCGAGCTTGCGGCCGTCGGTGGGCTTGTGGCGTCTCCACTGATGTTGGTTCACTAGAACGTGAATGCAATGGTGATTCTCTGAACCGCCGCCGATTCCTCCTCCGCTGGGGAACCCAGAAGCCATTTTTTATCCTCTTTTTTTCTCTCTGCTTCCGGAGGGGATCGCGGGAAGGGATTTGGTGGCAGAGGAGGAAGCTACTCTTTCAATTTGTGATTATAATAATTTTTTATTTTTTTATTTTACTTTATTGTGAAAATGAGTTGGAAATGGTAGAAGATTAAAATTTATTTTATTTATTATTTTTTAATTGCCACGTCACCAAATTAACGGTCAACTTTGAGGGTTGACTGCCACATCAGACATATTTAACGGAGTTGGACGGAGAGTGACCAAACTTGAACCATTTAACTAATTTAAGTGACCAAGATTGGATTTAAATATTTTCAATGACCAAACATGAACGTTTTTTGTAATCTCAGTGACCAACCATGCAATTAACCCCATTTTTTATGTTGCTCTTTTTGAGTGGCATGTGCAGCATGCATGTTGTTCTTTTCTTTTGATGGATTATACGGGAACAGATCAGGTATATGGTGAGTAACCAGAGTAACCTGTCCACATCAGCATGACATCAACATCCCTCTCTTTCCTGGAAAGCCTTTAATTTTCTCCTCCTTAATCTTTGACGGATGATTTCTCACTCGTTTTAAGTCGAAATTTAATTTTTTTTGCAGAGCTAGATCAGATTAATTGTGCTCTTCAAAATTATATTCACTTTGATATATTTTTTGAACAAAAAAAATTGAGTCACTTTTTACCAGTCTATACTATATGGTATTGACTGGTATTGAAATAAGAGCATACATATAGTTTGAAAAGCGTATCATGGTGGTATGGACAAATCAAGACTGTAGGATGGTTGAATACATGATAGTAGAAGTATATTAATTGTCATTTACGACTTTTAACATTGTGTACAACAAGATACCACCCTGTACCATGGTGGTATTTTGTGGTATTGTGTGGTATTTTTTGGTCATGTAATTTGTTCACCCAGAAATTTGGTACATGGTGGTATTTTGTGGTATTGTGTGGTATTTTTTGGTCATGTAATTTGTTCACCCAGAAATTTGTAGATCCAATAGATCATGATGAACTCGTTCCTTCTATGCAAACGTTTTCAAAAACGAATTAAAAACGAAGAAGATACCACATGATATGTAGTTAGTACCGAGAGGCAAGAATTTTTTCTCAAAAAATATTGAAAATTGATCTCGTTTTGTAGAGCACAACGTTCCTTCTATGAAAACGTTTTCAAAAACGAATTAAAAACGAAGAATTTTTCTCAAAAAATATTGAAAATTGATCTCGTTTTGTAGAGCACAACGAACTCGTTCCATCTGTGCAAAAAAAATTGAAATCCGAGTTAAAACGAAGAAGATATGAGTCGATAAAGAAAACAAGGGAAAATAAAAATTACATTTAATTCTCCATCCTTAGATCTAGATTTTCTGAATGAATGGTCCAGATTTAGTTACACTACGGGAAAAATGGGTTTCGGCAACACGTGAAAAGTGTTGTGAAAGGTACTGAAAATGTTACATATATTATATGCGACACTTTTGTCAGTGTCCTCTATAGGGGGTGCTGTATAAAATAATAGGTAACACTTTTCTGACTTTATGCAACAAAAAAATATGTGTTACATATGTATACCCTATATGCAACACTACTTTAGACAACACTACAAAAAATTTACACAACACTTTTTTTACATGTATAACCAACATGTATATGTTTTATTCGTAACAGGTTTTGTTGTCATATAAGACGTACTCAATTATGACAACTATCGCTTGTAACAAATACTTTACACTTGTGACGAGTTTGTGTTGTCACCTTATGTATTTCCACTGTCACTAGGTTAGGTTGTCACAAATAATTCTCTTTTTCAAATTTACTTTTGTAACAAAATAAAGTTTTTGTGACAATGCTACTATCACAAAATCAAGTTCTCGTGACACAGTTATTATTATTAAAAAATATTTGTGACAAAACATTTTTGACAGTTACGTTATGGCTTTAGTTTCGGTGGCATTTGTCACAAAAGTCCACTTTTTTACGAACTTTTTGTCATATGACAATATTTGTAACAATTGTACATGATATTATGAGAGTTCAATTGTGAGGAGATGCATTATCACAAATGCTTACTTTTGTGACAAAGACTAGTACCACATGAATATCTTCTTACTGAAAAATATCTTTGACACACATATATATACTAAACATAACATTAATCCAACGGTTAATAGTAAGCCTGGTACACTATTAAAAAATAAAATACAAATATCTTGATTAATCTTCTCTCGTCCTGTACTTGGAGACTATCGATTATCAGCTCTTGATTTACACTCTGTCTCTCCTGCTACTCAACTGAATTTGTGAGAACCTCTTCATGAAACTCTACCCACAACTCGCACCCTTCTTAACTCCTTGATTTGAATCTTCAGAAGGGGAGATCACTCGAATTAGTTGAAACCTGTGAATCATAATTATGGGAGAGCCCAGAATAATAAAAAAACAACGAAAAGATAATTAGTTAACAAGGGCATTCAAAGATGAATGGTTGTTTCTGTGTTTCTCGTGAAATTGGAGATTTCTGTCAGATAAAAAAAACAATTCAGTAAAAGGAGAAACACCGTTGTAGAAGCAGCGTCCGGCGTGCAAGGAAGAAGATAAAATGAGTCCCGCTGACGTATGGGAAGTGATCAGGGAAACTAGTTGCTTGTCTGTCTATTGAGCCTTCGCAGCAGCGGCAAGGATTTGGGAATTATGAAAGAAGAGGAGAAGCTGGGAAGAGACGGAGGGGAGAAGACTAATGAAGGGTTTTTTAGGTTGAAAACATAAGAAGCTTGTGATTTGATATGGAAACATGGATTATTTAGGAGAAAAATCAGGGATCGACTATTTAATTAATTTCCTTACGAAGTATTTCGGTATAAGAGATTCAATTCCCTTCCCCGCCGATAATTGGTTTCAAAAATTTTGGCCTTTTACCGTTTGAATAGTTTTAATTTATTACTTCTCTCCGAAAAAGAAATAGTTTTGATACTATTTTGGTATTTTCCGTGTAACAATTATGAACTAACATATTTTTTATACTTATCTTTAATATATATTAACAGCCTTTTAATTATCAACGTAATCAAACCAATTGTTTTTTAGATCTACTTGGGTGGAACACTTATATAACTATGATCACATAATATAAAGTTTTCTTTTTATAATACACTTTGTACTTTAGTTATAGTATTTTTGTCACAAAAGATCATTTTTGTGACAGAGTTTGGTCACTTATGATACAATATTGTATCAATTGTGCATTTTACGAAATATATAGTATAAATTAGTGATGATATGATGTTTCAACGAAATTAAGTTTAATTTTTTTTAAGAGATACTGAACCAACGATGATGAGGTCGGTCGGTGGAACAAATGGAATTAAAGTAGAAATGTTGCATTTTCCTTTCATACTGTTTGGTATAAATGAATTCTGCAAATTTTTAGGAATTTATTTTTTGAAATGAAATTTTTTTGTGTTTGGTATTTAAAAGAATTCATTCTCAATTCTAAATTTTGAATTCTATGGAATTGGAACTAGTTATAGCAATTCCGAGGAATTGAGATGGAATTTTCAAATGAATTCCACAAGTATTTACAAATTATGATAAAAGACATAATTATTCTCATTTATTAAAAAAATTACTTCTACATATATTATTTGGTGCCAATTCATGCAGTATGAGGAAGGTCGACAAGAATTTGATTGTAATGCTAATAGCATATACCAAACATAGGAATTCATTTGACAATGAATTATGCACAGAAATTCATTTTAAAACGAAATGAATTCTAGATTCACTTGGTACCAAACAGTCTGTTTAGATTTGGTAGAAACAATATTCTCTTTTATCTTTGTTTGGTTGTACGAACATCTTTTTATATTTACAAAGTTTCGTAACCCGTCATTATATACAAACTCTTCTTCACATTCATACTGAAAATGCTTTCTTTTTCCCCTCTTATAAGCATAATGAAATGCTAATTAGTTTTAACCCATGTATTATATAATATTAATATTAATAGCGGTCAAAGTGGGTAAATTTGTGACCTTATTAATTAAGTGTTGTACAAAATGTAATAATAGGTAACAAAATTTATTTTATTGTAAAACTGTTGCATATTATTAGATATATGCAACATAAAATTTGGTAATACTAATTTGTGTTGTCTAAGATATATATTAGGCAACACATGATGGGGTGTTCCCTATATAACACTTCTTTAAAGTGTTGCTGGAAGAGTGTTGCATAAAGTCACTTTTCCCGTAGTGTTATTGATAGGTGCATAACCATGGGTTATCCAACTGAACCGAATTATACCTTATGGCCCATTATGTGTTCATTTGTCCATTTCATTGTCGTACCCTTTTCTATTTTCTTAATATCATCGTAAAAAAAATATTCTTGATATGCATAGAAACAAACTAGAACTAGGTGAGTGATCTAGCTAATGGAACCCAATATTCCTTACTTGCGTTGATAATTCGAGCTATCGGATGTGCTTGTTTTAATTAAGGATTGACCAGAAAAAGAGATAAGAAGATGAATGGGTTTGACCAAATTAAAGATTTTTATTCACTCAATTTTATTTTTTTATCTTTCAGTATTTTAATAAATCGATCGAATGAGTGGAAGTAATATGACTCCTGCATAGCTCTTACATAAGCAATTCGGTTGAGTCAATAGCGAGGAAACGGTTGGATCAAAACGGTATTCTTTGTAATTAAGCAGTTTGTTTAGTCTCTGATTTTCATCTGTGAGCTCAAATATCAACTTATTCAGCTTTTTATTTTCTTCATTCTGACACATCATTGACTTAGTTAAACTAATTATATCCCTCTTTAATCCCTGATTGTCAGTCATAAGCAGACAGTACCTGCTCTTAAGTCTTTTACATTCTTCTTGCAGGTT